AAACACAATCTACCAGGAACAACAACGAATCTCTCTCTGCAGTGACAGTTTTCCATATGACTCTTTTTGCCTCATTTGCTCAGTAAGTTAATAGAAATTTTTACAAAAATTGACCAAAATTAATCATGATGACTGTAGCAAAACATTGCTGATAACCTTTGGGAGTTCAGTAGATTGTTGGTTCATTCTGTTATCTGATGAGGCTTAAAGATCATGATTTCACCCTTCCGTCTCTTTGCAGGGCATCTACAGCTGCTTCAATGGAGTAGAGCAAACTGACCGCAATGAGAGCATGCCGAGTCCGGACGTCACGACCAACTATACACAAGCCAATATGCTAAAAATGCTGAAGACAGCCAAGGACATGGTGTCCTCTGCCAGAGTGGAGAACTCTCTAGACAATGCCACCAAAACAATAGAGAACTGGAGCAGGCGTGGGGGCGACAATGTGCGGGTTGGCATGCCACCCAGACTGACCACCACAGACATGTCTCATGGCCGGCTGCCCTATATATCCAGCATCACAGACAACCACTCACCATACCCTCAGAGGGCCCTCACACCCACCTTCCCAATTCATTATGGGGACGCCGCCACCCAGCCGCTCCTGGATAAGCCCCGAGTGGTGACCCGACCCACCCCGCTCCGCTACACGCTGCCCACCCGCAACACTCAGCATGTCTTAGAGAGAACTCTGCCCATCTCCAGCCTCAGTAGCCCTCACATCGCCATGCGGGACCCTGTTCCCCCCAGTACTTCGAACCCCCACCACAGCAGCAGGCTGTATGTGGAGAACCAGGCCCGGCACCCCACGTCCCCTTTTGTTCCTTACAGGGAATTCCAGGTGCCAGATATCTACGTGGAGCACAAAGGACCACTAAGAAGGAAGTTTAGCTACCCCCCTGACTGTGTGAGCCGGAGGAGGCGGTCTCATAGCTATGTGTTTGATGCTGCAGACCCCAGAGCGAGAGGTGACTATGATGAACCTCGATCCTGCCTTGCTGAGTTGAGGGCCAATCACCTCCTGAACAACCACCCCCCTGTTGCTGCTGCCATGTCCTGCACTGCAGGACACTATCCAGGCGGCAGCACAAGCTGCAACTCCTGTATGAAGTCCTACCTGGAGCCTGAAATGGATGACATACCACTCCTGGGGAAGGACAAACTAAACCGCCGCGCCTCATTCCTCAAAGCCACATGGGGCAACGACAGGATCCATCAGGTAGATGAAACAAAGCCCTCCACTTCCACATCCTCCACCCGCGTAGACATGCCTGACCTGTTTCCTCGGGTGATAGTGGCCAACCCAAAGCCCCACAAGCTATATGGCAGTCTGGGGCACAACCTGTCCTGCTACCCCTTGGCTGCTGAGCCTGCCTACTTGGACCCAGCCCACATGGGCTCCTACCCCTATAAGCAAAAGCTCAAGTACTCTGAGTCCACCCGGCTGCCCTCTTACAGGGAAGCCATCCTGCAGAATGCCGCTGCCCTGCGCCGCTCCTCCTCCACAGTGGTGCACAGACACTACTCCACCTACCTGAACTCGTACACAGACTTACCAGTGTATGTGGGGCCACTGGCCCAGGGACCGTCCCAGTTTTATGACAGTTCCAAGGACATGTGCCACTTGTTTCCCTGTACAAGCCACTGCCCAGATAATGCAGCAATATTGCCTCGTATGAATGAAAGGCAGGTGGTTTACCACAACAATATGTTTGGGGCCTATGATGGCACAGGAAAAAGGGAAGACCCAGGCTCTGGGAGCAGAGAGCGAAGGCAGGTGTTGGTGGCGCGCAGAGTTAACAGTCCCTATGTGCCAAAGCCCTGGGGCAGGGTATCCAGCCTGGAGTCTGAGGTCTGAGCCCCCATCCTTAGTGGACTTCCACTATAGGCTCTAAAACTTAGCTCCTCTAATGAGGGGCATGCCTGGTGGTTCCCCCTCAGCCTCTGGTTTAAGCAAAAATTAAACTCTACACCAATAGTGTATTTGAGAGTGTTGACTCTCAATTATCAGTGCAATAATATCTTGGGCAGCGACATGTAAAGGAGAAGACACTGACAAGCAAATTACTGCTGGGACTTTGTAAGCCAAACTTAAAATACTAATAAAAGAAAAGAAATGTTGAAAAGTATTTAATACATAAGAATTTAACCTGTTGATTGTTATTTAAAGGATTTTTAAATGCTGTGTTGCTATGTGAAAGAATTCTGGGAGACAATATACTGTAGCCTCTCAATCTGATTATGACTTGAGACATTTTTCTCTTTTTTTTCCAAAATCATTTCAGTACCCACCATTTCAATTGAGAAATAAATGATTAAGACAATTTTGTGATCAAACCACTGACATGTTGTCTGTGGATTTTCTAAGTCTGCGACCTTGGGTGCGCAGCTCTGAGGCTTCCTGCTCCATTGATCATCATGTAATTTGACTGGGATTTTAAAAAGGGAAAACCATAAAAACGTATCACATGTATTTCCATTGTTACACTACCCTTTAATAAAGAACAAGGTCATCTCAAGGGCCTTTTGGAATCATCTGTCATCTCAATCTATATGTTAAACATGTTCTCACATCGTACCGTAATATAATGAATGTGACAATCTATTATTTCAATCTGCAAACTCTCACAGAATGGATGATTACATGAATACGGTATATGTTCAAAGTTGACACTAAGACCTTGGGCACTGTGTGCTACAACAAAATGTTTCTAGCCATTAAAAGGGAACAGTCTACTATGAACTAAGACAGATAAAAGTGAACCCACCAATTCACCTGACATACAGCAGAGAGCTATAATCTGTCAGCTATGCAGCAGATAGTTATTATGCACATTAAATTCACAAAAAACATGGTTTGAGTCACACAATTGTTTCTTCTAAAATATTAGGCAGTGTTGATAAGCAGCAGATGATCATAAGTACATGGCTGTGAGCTTCAGACTGGCAGCGGAGCAGCAGTGTAAACCATACAACAGAAGGTCAACAATTAAGCCTCAACTATAATGACCAGTGAATCACACTATCACATGAACACGCTGATTGAGTTGAAACAGTTCTCTCATGCTTAGGGTTAGAGTGAGAAAATATGAATGCGACTACCTAAGCTGTATGAGTTCCAGTAAAGTAAATATTTCAGAAGATAATTCTGTAAATGAGTCTTTGTCTGAGACAGAAGTCACATTTCCATCCCTAAAGCAAGTGTGAAAAATAACCTCAACCATCAGACTGGTTTCAGTGAGCAAGCAAGCAGTGAGAGGAAACAAGGAAAAAACAAAATCAATCCAGCCAATGACTAGAGGTGTAACAATACATAGATCTGTATCTCTACATTGACTCAATGATCAACAATCTAATATCATCAATGCTAAGTGAAAACACTGATACATATCATCATCTTAAAGACACACCTTTATTTTGAAATTCCCATGGCGTGTCTGTGTCACCATTTCTGTCCTTCCTAAACCTTCAAACAGTGCTGATGGCCTTGCACCAGACAAACAAAGGCAAGTGGTCAAGAAAAAGACAATGACGATATTTACTGATATTGTCTCATATTGATAGCCGGCCCCTAAATTTAATCACATTGAAATCATCTTGTGGCAGACTTTGTGATATCAGCAAATATCATATTGTCTAAAGAGTCGATATAATATTGAATCATGATGAAACTTGAGATTTACTCCCTTACACATAACACACATTATTCAACATCAGTATTTATATTACATCACTGCATTAACAAAAGCATCACAGTACACATGCAAAACAAGCAAAACAAGATTACTGTAGAACAGACACAACAAGGTAATTAATCCACAATTAATACCACTGATATTGCGCATACAAAACAGCAGCATAAGGGCTCCAACTGACAGGCAGCAGACACCAAATAATCAAACACAAGCAGATCTGCACAGAGCAACAAAATCAACCAGCGGTGTCAGCATCCATATTTCTAAGCATATTACAAACAATGACTAAACAGAGCCAAGACACGAACTCACAATTTGCATGTTAGCACGACCAATAACACCTTGTTGACATGAATAAGTGATTGATGAGCATCAGCTGTGAGTCAACTTTAGGAAGAACCACACAGCTCCAAGCAGCACAGACACAGCAATTGGCCTCAGACATCAAGAGGCATTATTAAGCAGAACTGTAAATATTGTCCAAATATTTCAGAAAATAACTATTTGGCAACAACAACACCAATGTTTACATCCCAAGAGCCAACACAGAGTATCACACTTAGCCTCAGGGCTGGTTACAAAACAACAACAACAACAACAACAACAACAACAACAACAAACTGGAGGGGAAAACAATGCAAGCCAATCCAGCCCATAATACTTGCTACTCAAACATCCTTAATCATAGTTGATCACAGCAAAAGTCAGCAGGATGAAAGCATCATAATATACGTGCCAAACCACAGCCAGAGGAAAATTAGCTCACTCACAACAGCAAATTAATTCAGAATTGACACCACTGCAAATGTGCACATTCATAACAGCAGAAAGCAGCAGCAACACAAGGGCAACAAAAACAGCCGGCAGTGTCAGCAGCCATATTTACAAGCACATAAACACAGACTAAACACAGCCAAGATTGTGTCCAAATTCTATACTACCTATTAACTGTACCCAGTAGCACAATATACTAATATTTATAGTGTACTGTTTTTGAAGTTATTGTATAAGAAATCAACATCCTTTACCAGTTTGCCACCACCAATTTCACTTCAAAGTTCACCAAAGACTTGTTTTAGTTTTTGTTTTCCAAGATTTTCCTGGAGCTGTCTAGCTGCTATCTGCAATTATATTTTTTTTGTGCAGCTGTGAATTGTACCTCCAGTTTCTTCAGTGCATGGCATTGTTAGACTTAAATATTCAAAGTTGAACACAATACTGGGAGCCTCCAATGTGCAGTATGGAACTGGGACACAGCTATGAATTCCCAGCAAGTAGTTCACACAAGCAGCAGGCACTTACCTTGCTGAAGAGATCAGTGATTTTCAGGGTGGAAGCTGAGAGTCAATTCTGGACAAAACTGCCATCATTCAAAGCTGCATCGACAGGAAAAATACAGATAGTAATCAGTAACTTGATATTACAGAAAACAATTATGTGAACTCAACTAGCTGTGTTTACTTTGTTTAAGCCAGCATACAATATTACCCTTGGACTGGTTACAGTGAGATGAGAGGAAATAAAACAATAACCAAAGGTGCCAAACCAATTATGCTCATCACACTTATTACTCAGACATCAGTATCTATTTTTTATCACCGCACAAGGAACAGCATGAAAGCATCATAATGCACGTGCCAAATAACAACCCAAAAAAAATCTAACTTCAGCCACAAAAAGACAAAGACATTAGCAGCTAGCAGAAGCACAAACATAAAGCACTACCAGCTAGACAGCCAGCAGTGTGGGCAGCCATTTTTCCAGGCACATAAACAGAAACTGAACAGAGCCAAGACATAAAAACGAAAGTTAGCAGCAGACACTTACCTTTCTGAAGGTAAAAAGTCCCTGGCAGTTAACTTGGGGAATAAACAATGCTGTTTCTAACTGCGTGGACAGGAAACTCCAGCTTGATGTAGTTTGTGGCCAGCAGCGAGAGCGCTTCCAAAAACACCTGTATCTCTCCTCCAAAAAGCTGTAATGAACCAACATAATGAGACTGTTGATATTTATGCACAATTCTCTATCAAATGCAACAGGAGACACATGTTGACATGCCAAAACAGTGTGTGGAGCATGGACAGTTTAACTAGGCTACCTTGTTGCAAGAGGGTGCCTTTGATATAACTGAAAAGTTGTGTAGCCATTTCAGTCCCTGGATGCAAGGGCTAAATCAAGTCATGCGTATAATCCTACTTTTGGTTTATTTAATGGAAATATGTGATTTGCCTGACAAAGACATCATATTCAAGTCAGTTTCATTTTTATAACCCCAAATCACAAATAAGAACTATGCATGACGAGTTTTATAATATGTACAGTATACTACACCTCTGTCTTTCAACCCTTGACTGGGATAAGGAAAAACTCACAATAAAAAACTTACATGGGAAAACAAATAGAAGAAACATTAGGAGCCTCTTTCATGACTGACAGATATAATAAATTTTGACTTGACTTGATATGTCAGTTTTATTTACATAGCCCAGAACCACTAATCACAAATTTAGCTTAAGGGGCTTGACATGCAACAGGTGTGTGTACACAAAAGACCAAGAATTACAGTCAGAACAGTCAGAATAACAATATTATAAATTGTAAACATGTGAGAATGTCTCATTTCCTCGATATCATTCTTTTTAAGCTTTAATTTATTTAAAACAATGTGAAATACAAAATAAAATACATCAAAAACAACATAACAAGTTGTATTCTTATACATGATATAACTGTAACGTTACTCCAGCCCCGTGTGCCCGTCAATACGTCACAGACATAAATCATGGCACATGCAGGTGTTGCTGCAGTGTATTAGCTTGCACTGTTTAATGTTTGAGGCTCCAACCAACATTTCTTCTAACAGCAGCAGAGTTAAATTGGGTCTCCCACAGCCGACGTAGAGGTAACTAACTTAAACAATTATTTAAGCCGACTGTTGGTTAGCAAACTAACGTTACGCCGCGGTGATTTTAACGATGCTAACGTGAAGTCACTCATTAAAAACAACCTAGCCAGCGAAGTCACCGATGTCACGGTGTGCGCAACTTATTAATTAACCTACCTTATTCCCGAACAAAGTACATACGACCAAGGTAGAATTTACATAGACACTTGCTGTGAAAAGTGGGAGCTCAAACAATACACTTTTAGCGACAAAGACAAACTTAAACAGAGCTTATTGAGAGGTCAACCTACCACGAGGACAGGCGCTATCTGACTGCTGACGAATTTCGAGGTGCGCCATTCAAGTGTGCAGGGGGCCTGAAGGGGGCGCTCCTGTTACAGACCGGTCACACTGGGAAAATAATAAATACATTAAAACCATAATAAACATAAATAAAATGGTAAATAATAAAATGATCCAATAGAATAGTGACTAATAGATTAATTTAACAGTAAAATTGGCAAGTGGTGCCATCAACTCTGCTACACATGACATATTAGGCTAATAAAGACATGGGTACATTTTTTAAAAGTTATTATTATTATTTATTTATTTATTTAATATATATTTTTTATGTCTCTATTCCTCTTTGTTCTGTTCTCGGGATAACCAGCCATCAACAGCCAGCAGCGCTGACCCTTTAAAATCCAGTTTAGGCTATATTTCCTCCTTTAAAGTGTAAAAATACAGGCAGTGGTTAAAACTGTCGCCTCACAGCAAGAGGGTTCCTGGTTTGAACCCAGGGTGGGGGAGCGCTTCTGCACGGAGTCTGCATGTTCTCCTTGTGTTAACGTGGTTTTCTCCAGGGCTTCCTCCCACAGTCCAAAGACATGCAGGTTAGGTTAATTGGACATAGGTGTGAACGTGAGTGTGAATGGTTGTCTGTCTCTATGTGTCAGCCCTGTGATAGTCTGATGACCTGTCCACGGTGTACCCCGCCTCTCGCCCAATGTCAGCTGGGATAGGCTCCAGCCTCCCATTGACCCCCAAGAGGATAAGCAGTTACTGAAAATGGATGGATGGATGTAAAAATACATGTTATTTCATACTATGTGACAGAATCATTCTGTATCAGCCTATTAAAAAATTATTTCAAAAGGAAACATTTTAGATATCTTGCACATCATGTATTAACTTTTTTTTTCAAACTTTGAGACCTCCTCTAGAATAGAGGGGTTTAGACTATGTTTGGTTGTGTCAGTGAAGTTAAGGACCTTAAAAGTAAAAATGTACCAAAAAATTGAGAAGAGGTGATGAAACCATTTCTTTTATGGAGTTTGGCTTGCTGGCAAATACACTTTAAAACCCTGACAATAAATGAGAGTTTATTTTCACTCTGACATTGTTTCCATAAGACAAATGTTAACGCCAATTGCTGAGCAAGGCCGAGAGCCAAACTCTATTATTCTTAATCCTTAAAAATCACACAGTAGTGGGGACCAACATTTTATTTAACCACACATCCAAACGCCTGAATCTTTCCTGTCACAGCAATTGTCTTGTAATGTTTGTTATATTAAAGCTTACAGTGCTTATTTCAACATGACTGCCATTTGAACTCACACATAAGGAGTTCATCAGCCCTACACCCACCAAAGTCACCTATATCAAAACCACAGCTGCAGCACCAAAATCAGCGATCCATGCAGCTGTGAAACCCATGTCTCTGCTTCTCATGCCTTGGGCTCTTGCGTGTTTTCAGGTGGGCTCAGAGACAAACAGGGATATAATGGTGCAGCGATGAGGCATTTATGTATTCTGCACTCCTCTCTGAGAGCTGCAGAATTGATGGGAGGGCTGGCTAATTGCAGTGCAGATGATAAATGATTCTACACATGCCGATAAAATATCACCAGACATTTGTGATCTCCTAAACAGCCACACAGGTGCTGCTGTTGAACTGGACTGCTTGCTGCTGAAAATATTAAGGCATTTTAAAAAATTAACCTTGATTACATATTCTACATTAGCAACCATGTTAAAGCTTTAATCAGGGACAGTATCTTGCTGTAAAAATCCTTAACCTTCATAACTGCCTCCATTACTGTAAATGACAGTAAAATAATTTAACTGAAGATGCAGTTGACTTGTCAAATTAACACAAGTAGTGTCAAGTACTAAGTAGTCATGCAGCAGTAGGAATAACTTGATGAAGTAACAACTGGATTAACTTATTGGACCAAGAAACTAACAAGTAGTTCATCAAAGCTAGAATACATCAATCATACTGGCCATTAAAGGGACAGTTCACCCCAAAATTAAAAATACATATTTTTCCTCTTACCTGTAGTGCTGTTTCTCAGTCTAGGTTGTTGTGGTGTGAGTTGCAGAGTATTGGAGATATCGGCCAGTGAAATGTCTGCCTTCTCTAAATTATAATGGAACTAGATGGCTCTTGGTTTGTGGTGCTCAAAGCGGAAAAACATTTATCTGAAAAACTCAACAGTAATGTCTCTTTCCAGAAATGATGACCTGGTTACTCAGAATAACCTTGTTGTGAGCGATTTCGTGAACTGTTTTCTTTCAACAACAGCTAACTGTATCATCGCACAGAAGGAAGTATGCAAAAATGTTTAGCTTTGAGCTGCCATTTTATTCCAGAAAAGGCAGACATATCTTCAGGCGATGTATCTCCAACACTCGGCAACTCACACCAAAACAATCTAAATTAATAAATAGCACTACAGGGGGCCAGCAGTAGCTCAGCTCATAGGGACTTGGGTTGGGAACCAGACGGTCGCTGGCTCAAGTTCCCATCCAGACCAAATATGGAGTGTGAACTTGTAGCTGTAGAGGTGCCAGTTCGCCTCCTGGGCACTGTTGATGTGCCTCTGAGCAAGACACCGGACCACCAACTGCCCGGGGCACCTCCCTCTCCCTCTTCTTCTTCATCTTCTTCTTCTTCTTCTTCTTCTTCTTCTTCTTCTTCTTCTTCTTCCAAAGGAGTCTCATATTATTTCCTCTCATGTCTGGCATGAATCACACAGTCAGAGGGGACACATTTTAAAAGGGAATTACATTACCGTGTTCGTCTTCCGTTGGCAGGCTATGAAAGAGAAACCGTGTCTCATTATTTTTGTTATTAGTGCACATTTGTTATTAATTGTTTCTGCAGCTCCTCTGCTAGTCCCACAGTAACCTCAACAATATAAACAGTGACTAATTGGATATTTATAAAGACTCCGCAGTTAAGCACACATCCATGTAATAGATTTCCTGTGTTATATCCATCTATTCATTTCTTAGGAAAAGCTGACTTTGATATCATTTGAAGGTCTTTCTGGGTTAAATGCTCTGCGCAGCTTCATCTCACCATGGTGCACTCACCAACTGGAGCTTTTCACTGATATCACTGAGCAATGAGCACTTTTCATTGAAGCATAGTATCATATAGAAACGTGACCCCTAATTGGACAAAGAGAGATTAATGCCACAAGCACTTAATAAGTGTGAGAACTGACTCTCAGCTGAATAAACTCATTTCAGGAACCCTAAAGTAAATCTCTGTGGATGAATATAGCTCTTTCACTATGCTCACTGACCAGACCAATCTTCATCCATTTCACACATTAATTAATGACTAATTCTGTGATGTGTGTGCTTTGTAACGTGACAAATTCATTCCTTTCACACTCCTCTTTCAAATGTACAAATTCACAGAAGGTGGGCACACAAAGACGAGCCATGCAAGACAATTCATTTCCCAATTTTACCACATAAATACTGGACAAGATTATATCTAGCGTCAGGAAAGAGTTTATGAATATGATTTCACTCTTGATTCCCTCAGCATATTGAAAATATTAAAATTAGATGAAGTCAGAGGTATATCTGAGCTGCTGATGTGGATCTGTAGTCAGAAAGTTAGTGGCAAGCCTCAGGCATTCACTTTGGGAGGTTCTTTAAAAAAGATGGCGTCTAGTGTCGCATTAAATGAACAATTGATTTTACCTGCTGCCATTCTGAAGCTGGTTGCGTCATTGTTATCTTTCTCATTGGCTGAGGGGAATTACAAAGAACTAAATAAACACGTTGGCTGGGGACAAGAAAACACAGACTGAGCACACAGGTCACATAGATTGGTGTCACGTCCTATTGTAAAGGGCATGTCCACATTTAGTTTCAAACTGTATCTGAAGTTCACAGATGGGAGGTATCAGCTGATATTATCTGGAAAGAGAGAAGTAAAAGAAACTCTCTACACATGATCAGCAGGATGAGCGGCGCTTGCTGGAAGTTGGGCCCAAAGCACAGTGCAGAGAAGGTGTGATCCAAAACCCAACCAGCACAGTACCAGTTTGTGGGGGGTTTCCACTCCATTTCAGTATGCCACACAAAACTATACATGCCACATATGGGAAGACACAATAGGTAAATGGGGTCAAACTTTAAACTAATAGATATCACCATGAAACTTCCCCAGCTGATGGCTTAAATTTCAATGTTTTAATTGAATATGCACTAATTTGCCCACAATTCCAAATCAGAAATCTGACCACTGTATTAAGCAAGGTTTGTGTTGCTGGAAAATGCCCGCAGGTTTAATAATGGCCCCATGCCAATTACCCACATAGATGGGTTTATCCAAATAGGCAACGCATGAGTAATGCTAGGGCTACCTGGATAGTGGGTATGGGCCATGGATAAAATCAACCATGTCAGCTATCGGCATTGGGCCATTGAAGAACCTGTGGATAATCCCACATAGGGCCCATTTTTTAGCCCATTTACAACCCACATGGGCTCCACATAGAAATGTTGGCTAGGTCAAACCCCTAGGAATATAGATAGAAATAACAGTTTGGTGTATGTAAGTTCTACTGGAAAATAAATCTCTGGCTGAGAGGTTGAGAGAAAAATACTGTTTAGAGAAAAGATGTGTTTTAAAAAATTTTTTTTTTAAAGAAAAAGCTAGACACTACAGGTGAAAAGAGTCCAATTTTTTCCTAATAGACATCACAATGACACTTCCCTAGCTGATTCGTTAAATTAAATTTTGAATTGCCTGATAAAAAAGGTCCTTTTTCCCAGAACTGAACTGAAAATAAAAACTTCAGTGGGTATTTTGGATGTTTTCCTGCAGTCTGAGAGGAGACGTGGTTTGGAAGCAAAACAGACCAAAATCTCAAAATTGACCAGTGCATGAAAAATCTATGTTTTCACCAGTGGTGTCTGCCCTTAAGCCAACTTCAATCAATGGCTTTGTGCAGCACTTACTGGTGGAACATCACGGCATGTAAGGCAAGGCAAGGCAAGGCAATTTTATTTATATAGCACCATTCATACACAAGGCAATTCAGTGTGCTTT